GCACAAATTCAGTTAATAATTGAAAAAAAATATTATATGGTTTTTATGTAAATGAGTATTTAAATCTGGCTTAGTTATATAAAAAAAAAATTCTAGCCCAGCCTACTTTTAGTTTCTGGATCCGTCCCTGCTGATAAGTAATAGTTTTTGTAACAAAAAATTGCTTATTTCTTATAAAGATGTTATATATACTTATCAATACAAAATAAGATCTCTAAATTTCTCAATTTTTTTTTATATGTAAACTAAAAATCATACAATTAACTACTGTAAATATTACCTATAAAATACTTCACATGTACTTGTCAAACAAAACATCCGATGTACCGAGTTGAGAGTATACCTAACCCGAATGGTTGGAATATTCCAGTTGCTTGAGTAAAGACTTTTTTTTTCCAAACATCAAATGCATTAATAAAAGTCTCAAGATTACAGAGTTCGACAAGCCAACGGGCTACATAACAAATACGAATAGAGACGACATCAAGCCATAATGCTTGAGTAAAGTCGATTAGCTTGAAAACAAGGGTCCATAAAGAAATATGGCGGTTTTATAACAATTAAAAGAAATATTTGCATCTAGACAATACATTTCATTGAATAGTTGCTATTCTTAATGTAATTGCTTTAGTCAAAGCAACAACATACGAACTTGTAGAGATTGGCATCATTATTATCTAATTTGATTCTAGCTCTTTAATTATTTAAAATAAAATATTAAATTGATTTTCAAACAATTTCTCAAATTAGTAAGTCAAGTACATTTATTTATTTAATCAAACTTTCTATTTCAATATTTTTTTCAACAACTTTTTATATTAGTATAGATTTTTAAAGTGATCTATCTATGTACTTTAAGCCTACTATGAATTCAACATATTAAGAAACCGGAAAAGGTTAGCCCATCTTGGTGCTTTAACCAGAAAAGATTAACATACCACAATAAGGATAAGAAACCATTTCTGGATTTATGCGTGTCATCTTTGCGTAGGGGTCATTCTAATCTTCTCTGTATCGTTCTAATTTTATCGAATGTCCCAAAAGGGACCACAATAACCATAAGAAAAGCCCTTATCAACTTTCTTTTATTATTTATTATCACAAACATGAAGCATTAATTTTATGGCCCCAAAATTATACTTCCAAGGTTTTGCTGACATTGATTAGAGGGATGTATCGATGGAGTCTGAAAGCCACCATCTGCCACATGATTTTCTCTATTTCCATAAAGATTCAAGCCACCATTTACTCTGCCATAGCAAATAGGAGGGATTTGTGAGCCACGAGCAGCCATTGTTCTCGAATCATTTGTCCCGATTTGGTTCCGAACAGCTTCATCATCTAAAGCTTGCAATTGTTCATTAGTTCTGATCTCAGTGCTACGGCCAACTCCAACATCAAGATCAAGGCATACAGAACCACCATCTTGTGGCCTCATTCTAGGAATTCCGGCACACTCATTGCTGCTGTTCTTGGCAGTCGGGACATCATGGTTGTGCTTGCCCTCATAAGTGGTTATGACAGCTTTGGGGTCGTGGGATGCCCTCTCCACATGTTTCCGAACGGGGCATCCAGAATGCGTGCATTTGTAGTAACTCCTGAAATTGAAATTTATACTAAGAGACCATGTGCAATTTTTTTTTAAAAGTATATGTTTGGACTATGCAGGTAGATTATTTATGATTTTACGATTTTCTTATCATAACACGACGTTTCACCAAAGGAAAAAACGTATCATGGATTATGAACACCTATTTTGGCACCATATATGCATTTGTTTTCCAAGAGTTTCCAGACAGGGAAGAGAGTGTCCAACTCGAACCAATAATTAACAGATTTCAACTTAGCATAGGCTAATGTGTTACTATTCGAACCAAGACTTTGCTCTTAAGGTAAATCACCGTGGCTAGACTCATGGCAAAATATTTTCTTCAGCATATTATATCGTATAGTCCTGTTTACCAAGTCTGCATTAACGATTGGAGCGGTTTACGAGTGTTGAGTTAACTCAAACCCAAAAAAGAGTCCATGAGCTTAACATAAAAAAACTCCGAAAATCATCAGTCACTGCACCACAAATTGGATATTGTTGTCGTCGACTGAATGTTTTTGTTTCACCAGCCCACATGACTAAAATGAGTAATCATGAATCAAACTCCCACATGCAATTCACGTGAATTTTCTGGCTGATTGACTCCAGCAGTGTTTACATTAGTGTTTTCTTATATAAAAGTCACATTTTTGCATATAATCCACGTGATTTTTCTAGCTGGTCTACTCCGGAAGTGTTTACATTAGTATTTTCTTATTTAGAGTCAACACCTTTTCAGATGTGCTACTTGCTCAAATCTGAGGCTAAAAGATTATCCTTCACAGCTAGCTGAAGAATGAACACAATACATACCTCGGATTTGGATTGCCTCTGACCACTTTCTGGCCATACTTGCGCCATCGATATCCATCATCCAGTATATCAACCTCACTGACAGTTTGAACAACAACTCGTGGTTCACGAATCGGCTTAACAACTGGTGTTACATCAAGGCTATCCTCCATTTTCCTGGCCCATGTTGTGAATACATATTATAAGAAAGACACTACATGTATTCTAATAATGTTATAATAACACATACCTCCGCTTGAGAAATGGATCATCTGCTTCACAATTGTCATTAAGGCCTTGAAATTGTGAATCAGAACAATCGTTTTCCTCCTTGTTAGCTTGTAGAGGAGAAAACATGGGAGAGCCATTTTGCTCCATATTGGTAGCATTCAACTTCCCTTAAATAAAAAAAATAAGAAAAAGATAATAAACATAGGACTTGTAAAATTCAAAGAGGTATGTAATAAATAGCTGCTGCACGGAGCACCAAGCAACTCCATAGGACATACAAATCATCCTTACTAAAAGGTCAGAACATGCATTAGTAATTTCGGATTTGTTATTCTGGAAAATACAAACTTAATCGAATTAAGTCATCTATATACCAACAGAATAACTGCATCATTGTAATCTAAAAATCATATAACTAAACCATTCAATACTTTTCTGAATGTACAAGAGAACCCTAGTGAACCTGTTATTTATTGCAAACCATCATTCTACAGAATCGGTCATTTCAAGTTCTTCAGTTTGAAACAACAATCAGTAAAAAGTCAGAGGGAAGACATGGGAGAGCACAGACAATGATTTGAAATAGAGACAACAGGTTGAAGTAAGAGAACAGTGATAGAGATCAGTTGGGAGAACATTGAGAGTAGGCAAAGCTTCATACAACTGTTTAATATTCGATTAAACATAATAGGAAGTTAGGCCGAGTACCCTCTTGATCACTGATTGATAAACCCTTGTCCAACTTATTTTCTTGGATGGGTAAAAGAGCCCCAAGATTGTGTCGCCTTGGAGCTTGAGGTTTTGGATGATCATGTGAACCCTTGTAAACAATCTCTGTAATCTGTCCACTTGGAGAACGCTCAAATATCTTTTTAGCCTCACAGTTGGGATATGTACATTTGTAATAACTTCGAGGAAATTCACTCCCTTTAACCAGTTTCTGCCCATATTTCCTCCAATTATAACCATCATCTGATGTTTTCTCAGCTGAGATCGAGGAGATACTATCTTTATGTTCGGAGGATGATTCTAAAATACCCGTGTGGGAATGTCCTTGATTTAATTCATCAGTAGTACTACCTACAACAGATGCATCCTGTAAATCTCCAGCCACAGCCTGTGAAGCCAAAGCTGATGGTGCGGGAGATAATGAATAACGTTGATTATGCTGATTGACTTGTCCGATCTGATTCAATCCTACAGGAATCTTTTCCACAAAGAAATTAGATATTAGCACAGATGCACAGGCCCAAATATTCGCAGAAGACAGGTTAGACATTGCGAACATGGCAATTAGAGAAAATTGCATCAATTAAATAGAGTAACCGTGGAGGAATTAAATCTCCAAGAAGATTTTCATCAACTACATAAATTGATTTCTAGGGTCTAACAATTACACCTTTTATCTCTAGACAAGGAATACCCTGTGCCATGACATGAAACTCATGTCCGACTAGGAAAACTTATGGGCTTCATTGGTAGAAGTCATATTAACAATACCTAGTCCATAGAAAGCAATGCGAGATGAGTGACCTCCTGGGAAGTCCCTCAGAGAGCGCATAAGTGACAAAGCATGCTTAAAGGACTCGTGTCACCGTCAAGTTTTGAGGGAGGACCTTGCTTACAGAAATGGTATCAAAGTCGTTCCACAGCCGAAGACTGAAAGCTAAGTACTATGCTGAACAAAGTGCGACACCATAGAGAGGGAGCCACCTCTTGAACTCGTAGAAGATACCTCTAGAGTCCTGGAGCCTGGAAGTGGGAACCTTGGGATCCTAAGATTGAACGACTACGTCCACAAGGACATTGCAAATTTAAGGGAGCAGGTTGTAATACCCTGGGCATCAATACATGTGACAAATTAGGAAGGCCTAAAAGACATGATAGGTTGAAATCATATCCACTAAATGCATCTTCTTCTATGGCACCTTGTCTGTTGAAACTAAGTTAAATGTATTGAATTGGAGCAAAGAGGGATGGATCCGGGGCATAACAAGACCAACCATATCACACCAATAATTCTTCATAGACTTGTTGACAAGACAGTGGGAAAGTAAATATTTAAAAAAAAAAAAAAAAATCTGCTGAAGGAACAAACAAAGTTCATAAAAAAAGAGCAAAATGAGCAAACAGCAAAACAAAAAATGTACAATGCTGAACTACCATATACTCTACCAGCTTCATTAAGAATAATTGAAAATAATGAATGAGAAACAAATCCAAACGGATATCACCTCAATGCAAATTAAAATCCCTTTTCCTCAGACATCAATTTCACTTCTATATAGAAAGATAACAGAAAAATTGTTATAGAAACCAATTCAAAGTGTTTAGAGCATTACTGACAGCCCAGCGGATGATATTCCCGATGTCGAAGAAACTCCAGTTTGAAACCTAAACTCAAAACTGCTGGTCATTCTTTCATCAACAGTGTTTTCACTGGAAATTATTTTTCCTATTGAAAATGCAGCATTTTCACCAGAACCACGCATCCATTGACGCTTGAAAAAGGAACCAGTGGTTGGAGAAGGTTCCGCCTGCAAAAATAACACAGATTAAAAAAAAAAAANGGGGGGGGGGAACAAAATGAGTTTTCCTGACTAACAGAGAATGACTTTGTGCTGTAGACCAACAGGAATGCCTATAACTCCAATTTAGGAACAGTTAATCGACGTTTTCTTACAGAGAAGAAAAAAATAAAAGGTCGTTGTGAAACCTCAAAGGTCTCTTACTTTTGAAGATTGTATAGCAAGGGGAAACATTTATATGCCCTCACTGGTATACTCAATTCTGACAATCATAATGGCATAAGTTTAAATATTTAAGTGTGAGCACCTTTCCTCAAGCTAATGACACAAAAGCAAGACAGCAGTCACCAACAAGTAAAAGCAAGATTCCTTTTTGTAAAGAAAACAACTCCGAGACATGATATATAACTGTCTAAAATCCTAATTGTTCCTTCGAAAAGAACAAAAAATCCTGTATCCGCATGCTGCTACATTACCATTTGATGGCAAAGAATATGAATAGTCAGGACACCACTGAAATTGAGAATAGTTTCAGGTTCTTTTTTTTCCTTGGTTATCCTCCGCTCACTATATTCTAATTTAAGAAACATTAAATCACAAGGTTCGTACAGCCAAGTCAACAAAAGTTTTATAGTGCCTCAAACAACTCAACCAAGAAAACAGGATAATAGACCTTGATAGAGCATCAAAATATAGAGGCCCCATAACATTGTCGAAGCATCACATATATTATTCATATATTGATCTTCCCTGAATACCACCAACTACCCAGTGAGAAAGCAAAAGCACACAACAGCAATATGATGAAAAAAGACTCACATATCAAATCAGTAATGAAGTGCCCCCATGATAATTATTAAACACCACCACAACAAATTACGATGACGATGACGATACCACCGAGTTCGCTCACTTAATTGTACATTCTTATTTCCAGAACCCTAAGGGAATGCTGGGCATTGCACTGCAGAGTTATTTGAGAATGCTAAACTTGTATTAGTATTAAGGTAAGAAACGCAGTTGGATCTAAATTTTCTACCCACTGTCGCGAATAATTCACTTTAAAATCACGATAAAGGTTTGAAAAAAAGGATAGAGACAGATCAAACTATAACAACCTAAGTAGTCTGAATGTACAAGCATCAGAAGAATGTGACCTTGATGTTAGAGAGAAGAATGGGGGACTCCAGAAACGACGTCCGACTGAGTCCAGGAGGGACCGAAATGCAAGTAGACCTCGAGATCGGGAGCTTGGCCGGAGACATGAGACGGTACTTAGCTACATTGCCGGATCCGGCGGCGTCGGTCACGCGATCCGCAGCTGCTGGCGCGTAATCAGAAGGGGATTGTTGAGAGTGCAACGAGTTGGAGTTCGCCATTGATGATGAGAGAGAACGTAGTCAAGTGAAAGGCGCGTAGCCGCGTATGCATCAATTATCATTTGAGCTCTGAAGCTGCAATGGAGGAGAGGGTGAAGGGTGAGAATGTATTTTCATCGGCACTGTCGGAGAGAAAGGAGAAGGTTCGAATTAACTGAATTCTACGGTGGTCTTGTGTTGTTTTACACGGCCAGATGGTCGTGAAATTGTATTGGTTGAGCCTCTTTGCCAAGCTTTATTAGAAGAGGAACACCAATGATCTCATCATGAAATGTAAGATTCAGTGGTGCTGTCGCCGTCATCATCGCAGTGGTTGTTCCAGTTAGTGCTGCAAAGGAATCGAACCGAACAGGGCTCGATCTGTTCGAGCTCAAGTTCGACTAATATTCGAGCTTGTTCGAGTTCGTTCGTCTACTAGTCAAGCTTAAATTTATGTCTGTTTTTCGTTCGTTAAGTTTGTATTTGTTCGTTTTCGACTCGTTTAGGTAATCGGAATTATTTGAACTTCTCGAGCATTCGATTAGCTCTAATTGTTCAAATAGTTTGATTATCAAAATTTCAGAAATGCTTATTATTATTATTATTATTATTATTATTATTATTATTATTATTATTATTAAAAATCTTGTTGTTCGCGAACACTCGTTTATGTTCGCGAACGTGTTCGTGTTCATTCGAATAATAAACGAGCTGAATTACATGTTCGAGCTTGACTCGATTATTTAACGAACGAGTTCTAAACGAACACGAACGAGCTTTCATTCGTAAACTTTCGGTTCGTTTGCAGCACTAGTTCCAATCGGAGCCGTTTCGGGTGTCGCATCCGCCACAGGCCACAACTACTCCCATCACTAAGGAGAGACTACTTAGTTTGTTGTAGAGGTTCTTGTTATGTAAGATAAATTGATTTTGTGCCTAATTTTACGGTTCTATTTTTCGCAAATGGAAGATTTAAAGAAACTCTCAAAATCATTGAGGTGAATAGAATATTAATTCTAAATTTTATATGTGAGAGAAGATAATTTTAAAGTTACTATTGAGTTAAAATAACTCAAATATTGTTAGATTCATGAACCTTTTGTTTTTGACAGTTTACAATTGTTTGGACAAGCTAAATGCATTATTCATGCATTAAGTATGTTAGAACTATAATAGGGTTCGTTGGAGACAAGCTAAAAAAACCATGCCCAATTTGGGGACTGGATGAGCGCGTACGGGCTCGATGGCTCGCAACCCAGACGCACATGTTCATCCTGAAAAAACTCAAAAATTTTGGGAGAGTTACATAATTGCGCCTAAATAGTAAACAATATATGCTCACTTAAATGTCGAAGCAGTTTTCACAAAACATGAACCTTCAGGAGTGCATCTCACTTTCCATCAGAACCTTTTCATTCAAGTAAATGTTCGGCATATACATTTAGATATTACAACAAATACTATTTCTTTTTAACCTATAATTATTCACTCACCTAACTGCTTTTCCGGCCACTCTTCGTGAACTTCTACAACTACCCAGAATCCCTCCGTTTACCTTTCGATACTCGTCCCAAGCACCTTTATGTTTTTTATAAAGAAAATCTTACAAACTCAAGCCAGAGAACACACTCTTTGAGTTGAGTACACAATAAAAGAAAATCAAACTTGGTGCATGAAACTACACTCAAACTTGCACACACTTAAACAATAATCAAAAGTCGTAAGCAGCAACGTGTGTGCAATGCTCTTCAATAAGTTTATTTCTTTAGCCGCTTTCTATACTCAAAATTGGTATCCAAGTTCTCCAATATTATGTTAGTTTGATGATGTCCCCAAGATGAACTAGAGAATGATTATTATGTTAGACATCGCAGGTGGATTAAGTTCCGACATAATAATAAAAAATTAAGTGGTACTACTCTCGGCACAATAAGTCAATTAATTATATTATTAGCAATTAAATTAATTAATAAAAGTTATATCTTAAGCACATGAGATAAATCGAGTAATTATTATCGGAGCCTCAAATATAATTTTGAAGTCAAATAGGGAGTGCAATAATACTTCTCCAATGGGACTGAAGTATCACTTAAGTATGAACAAAGTGGACTTGTCCCACAGTTATGCCCATACTTGGGAAGTCCATATTGACACCTCTTTGGGTCCCTGTTGTAGTCTATAAATACACATTTTCTCCTGAGAATTAGACATACCATACTATATACACATCTAGGGTTCTTAGAAATCCTAATCGAGATCTCTTCGTCTATGTTGTCCACCAAGACGTAAGAATACGTGTAAGGTCATACAACAGAAGTCTTGAGGTTACCCGAGGCAACCTCGCGACCACTGCCGACCACCGTGCGCCACCGCCTCCCAACCACTGACCAACTAGTGAACCACTGCAACCCGAGCGATGCCAGTCGCAGCCGATCACCATAGCGGTAGCCGATTGCGAGCACCACACACACGACGCACGAGATGCCACAACTCAGTGACCGTGCAGCCTGCAGCGCCCGCGCACGCACAATGCCACCCAACCCACCCACATCTCCGGCGACAACGCACGTTTTCTGGCAACCGTGGAACAATCAGATGAGACACAAATGAGGCATGAGGGACGAGGCCAGAAGAACTTCTTAGAACCGTCGTTTGGCCCCGTAGGCCATGTTAATCTGTACAGAGCCTGCAAGTTTTAAGCCGCAAGTGTTCAAACTTTACTTTAGTCTTCTGCGCTTTTTTCGTAGGCTAGATCTGTGACTTGCACGCTTCGATGTTCCTCATAGAACCCAATATTAGGGTCCTATAGCATGAAGGTCGGGAGGTTGTGGTTACGATCAAGGAACTAAGGGTTGTGCGGTAAAGGGTGAAAGAATCCTAATAGGATGGATAGTGAATATTGCTAAGGAGACTTGCTTGGATAAATATGTAGTAAGCTAGGAAAGTAGGTATAGAGATCTCTTTCCCAGCAAGGACTCTCTTAGACACCAAGGAAAGGGTAACCAGGTCCTTTGTTATAATTGATCGTATATTCATATACTTAGCGCATATATTACCCATTTATTCTCATGGAAAAGAACTCGCTTGAGTTTCGGAGTGTCTGGACCCCCTCCCAGTGCATTACAGGTCATCGAAGCTCGAGGCAGGATGACGTTTGTGGATTCGCCTTTTCAATCAAGTTCGTGACAATTTGGCACATCAACCCTGGCTCATCAAGACACGGTGATCGAATATAATCACCAATACACCAATTAAATAAGAATATTTACCAACTCACTGAGTTACTAACCTAGCGGAATAAGTCTCACCATTTGATAACTCAAAGAACTAATATTAAATACACGTGCTTATTATTATCAGACGGCTTAAGAGTACGAGTAATATCATGAAGCTAGTTTATTTACTAGGTCACTATCAAATAAACTTCTCCTCCGAGATTCAGTATAATAAATACAAAATATACTAGTATAATTAATTAGTTAAGATAAACTAACTCAATTTATACTATAACCATACTGATATGGTTGTCCATTTCGATCTCAGTTATAAACCATATTTATATTGCACAAGGAACCCATAATATAATCTTCTGTGCAACGGCGTCACACTATATTATCTTCAATGAGAATAACAGGACAAAGTTCTCATTGTCATATTCAAAATATAAATGCAAATACTTTTGACTAATCTCGATTCTCATTCAATTGACATTTGGTAAAACCAAAGCGAAACGTTTAGTATACCAACCAACATCTTTATAATCTACTAATTTATGTGGCTTCCCTATGAATGGTAAACATACTAATTGATATTTTACATTATTTTATACTAAATACATTTTATTACAAATAAATTTATAGTTCATTGTATTGATAACTTGAAACTAATTTCTTATTTGTAAATTAGTATTGAATAATAAATTAACTTATAAACTTATTAATGCCTTGAAAATAATTATATTTTATTTATTCATACAAAAGTTAATTTAATATGAATTGTAAAAAATGGATGAAAAATAAAAATATTATTAAGATTTTAAAGAGAGATGACATTAATACTTAATAAGAAAAAAAAGGGCAGACGACAATATGGAAACGAACAGAAAAAAAATATATCATAGTTAGGAAATTTTTTCATCTATGTGTTTCAAGAATTATTTTATATTTCATATATATATATATATATATATATATATATATATATATATTAATCTACAAATAATTATTTTTAGAGTGATTAATCTAAAACTATATCCTTTAATTTATATTTTTAAATCAAATAAAATTTTAGATAGGTGAAAACTCAATAATTAGTTGTAAAATTTTTAAAAGTTAATTGATTTATATTTTTATTAAGCTAGTCAATAGATTTAGATCAACTACTGATAAGAAATTATCTGAAATAATAAACAAAACTCTTACCAAGGATGATGAAGAAAAAATTACCAAAAGAAAATTAAAAAAAAAAAGTAACAGATAATGTTTAAAAAAATCTTATTTAGTAAGCAAGATTTTATTGGCATAAAACTTTACTATTTTTCATAATTAGAAACTTAAGGGCAATATGATAACTTTTTTACTGAACCAACCAGTGGTCCTGTCCCACAACCAACTCATCCAACCCAATCGCAACCCACCAACTCACCAGTGGGACCAACCACTCACTATCTTTTATGCACAACACACATGCACTCACTGTACGCGCGCACGTGAGCGCACACACACACACACACGTATACACACAGTGAACCCCCCACCCTTGACGCCCGACCATCCATTGACTACATCCCAGCGCTGTCGATTGTGTCCTTTTTCTCCAACAGCCGTCATTCCAGCTCTGTCGCGGTCGCATCTTTTCTACACTTCGACGGGACGCGACACAACTTTTCTGCATGACGTATGTCGACTATGTTCACCGTCGTTGTCGTCTTTCTGCACCTGGCAGTCGAAAAGGGCCACACTGTGTTGTCGACGAGCTCCTTGTTCCCAGTGTCGCGGACGTTGTCAACCAGGAGGCCATAC